GTTTGAAGGCTGCCCAGAGAAGCTGTGGAGTCTCCATCTCTGGAGACATGCAAAATCTGACTGGACATGGTCCTGAGCAACCTGCTCTGGCTGCCCTTGCTCAAGCAGGGGTTTGCATCAGATTATCATGAGGTCCCTTCCAACTTCAGGTTGTCTGTGATTCTGTGAGCTGAGCCCTACCAGGTTTGTATCACCTGCATCCATATGTTCCTCCTAGGCAGCAAAGAGAACTCCTACATAGGATGCAAAGCCCTCTGTCTGAAATCAGAGCAGGGTAGGGGAGGAGGACCCCTATTCATCCTGTAATGAAAGTTCAGCTGGCGAATTGTTCTTTTCCTAACCTTATTCTCCTATTCATGTTTTTGATGACTAACACTTAGGAACCCAGGGTACAACAGGCTGAATTTATTCGTAGTTGCAGCATTATGAAAGCACTCTCTGAGGCAGTTTCCTCTCACACTGCCACACCATTGAAGGCAGCCCTGACCTTTGGGGACCACCCTCTTCAGGAATGGAGGGTTATTCAGCCTGCATCCTGTTTGAGAACCACATGCCCCTCCTGAACCACCAGCTCACTGCTGGAGCCAGGGCCTGACCATTTGTTTCAGAGTGTTCCCAGTGTGGAGCTGAGCTCCTGAAGAGACCAGTTGTGAGAGTGTGATTCTTCCTCGTGTTTGGTCAGAACTGAGCTCCCTCTGTGTGTATGCAGCTAAAGCAAGACCAGTCCCACAAACCTGCAGGCAGAGGTGTCAGCAACTTGGCTAGCATTAGAAGGAAAACACACCCTTGGGGTATAGCTGTGCCTATCATTCAATCTCATGACTGCATGTAGGAAGCAGTGATCTGGCTCCTTCTAATCCTTATTCAAGATAAGCCCTTTGAAGTCCATGTATGTTGGCAGGCAGGGCCAGCTTGGCATTTTTGCCAAGTTGGTGAAACGTTTTGACAGCAACTGCTTTCCTTTTCCCCAAAACAACTGGCTCTTGTTCTGTTTAATCCTGAAAAAAAAGCCCTTCATCACATTTCGGTCTTGCTCTGCATTACTATGAGAGACCACCACGGCCACCACAATTTCTCTCATGCATGAATACACAAACTGCTTGCACGCATCTCCCTTTTCTCAGTGCTCTGCCCTGTTGGGTTGGGAGGAGTGTCCATCATGTTTTAGTGCTGGTCCCAGCAAGAGGTTGGATAAAGAGAAAGCAGGTTGCAGAGCAGAGAACAGACTATATTTGCCATTCTTCATGCTGGGAAGTCAAACCAGTCCTTCCTTACAGGGAATCACAGGAATGTAAGGCTGAGAAGGAACTAGTTTAGGCTGTCCCTCTTCACTATTACATTTTTGTCTAGTCTTTAAAACCTCAGTGCAAAGATTCCATACATTTGCCCTTGGAAACTTGGTCCAATGTTTCGTGTCATGTCAGAGGCTCTGACTTGAGCCTACTCTGTGTTCAGATTTTCTAGATGTTTTCTTTTTCTGCCCAGAAAACTTGCCTGCACGGATTTTTAAGGATTGTCTGTACCAGAGCTTGATTAGGAAGGCTACAGATATGGAGAACCCGGACATATCCCTAGGACCTTAGTTAGGGTTGGCTTTCTGGGCTGCAAGTGCACACTGAAGCCGGCTCATGTTCATTTTCTCATCAACCAACACCCCCAAGTCCTTCTCCGCAGGGCTGCTCTGAATCTCTTCTCTGCCCAGCCTGTAGCTGTGACTGGGATTGCTCCGACCCACGTGTAGGACCTTGCACTTGCCATGGTTAAACTTCATGAGGTTGGCATCAGCCCACCTCACAAGCGTGTCAAGGTCCCTCTGGATGGCATTCCTTCCCTCCAGCATATCAACCGAACCACACAGCTTGGTGTCATCAGCAAACTTGCTGAGGGCGCACTCAATCCCACTGTCCATGTCAGCGATGAAGATGTTAAACAAGACCAGCTCCAACACCGATCCCTGAGGGACACCACTCGTTACTGTTCTCCAGCTGGCCATTGAGCCATTGATCATAACTCTTTGTGTGCAGCTATCCAGCCAGTTTCTCAACACTATCTTCCATTCTGAAGGGATGGGTGGTCATTTTTCTTGAAAATTCACATTGTTTTGTTAGCAAATAAACTCATGTTTGACAAAACATCCACCACGGCTGCCAGATCAGCAGTGATGTCTTTTTTTCTTCTGGCTCTTTTCCTCCTTGGGTGTTTCTTTTTCCTTCCCTTCCCGTACTCTCTTAATTTAGACTGGACCCTCCTGTAACAGCAAGTCAGTGTCTTGCTTTGGGCAAAACAATTTGTACACTGGATTTATTGTCTTCCTGCTTCAATGTCCATCCTGTAATGCCTTTTGCATTCAAGCTCATCCAAATTTCTTTCTCTCTTTTTCTCCTCTGTACTCTGAGCTTAGTGTTTTGAAGGAAGTTGATCAAACTGAGCATTCTTGTGAATTTGAGCTTGGTTGCCAAGAATGTAAGTGATTCATCTCCCTGTAAGGAAAAGTGCTGGCAATAAAACATTCCCCATTCCCCCTTTTTTTACATGCAAAATACTGTTACTGCTTAAAACAAGCAAATCGGTTTACTCTGAACAAAGTGTTAAGCTATTAACTGCACAACAACTAGAATTCTTAAAATACCTTTAAGCTCTATTCTGAGAAGAAGGAAATATTACCAGCAGAGGCCTTGAAAATTGTGATATGTAAATTACAAGCACTAGTAAAGCACAGTGAAATGTTACCTTGCCTCATATCCTTCATATTGTTACCTTACCCTCAGCACAACCAAATTCCAGCAGTTTTTCCTTTGCACTTTATGTCACAGATATTTTAAGAACCCTTCAGGGAAATGCAAAATAATTTCAGGGGAGAAACATGCTATTTACTTGAATGGGGACAGCACAAGAGCTGAACCATCTATTCAGTGAGGGAAGTTTGATGTCTCAGTCTGTCTCCTGTGGCGGTGCTGTTGTGGCAAGACAGGCACATGCCTCAGTGTCACTTAGCAAACTCCCTGAGGACCTACCATGGCCATGATTCCTGCGCACAGACATCTGGCCTGCGCCCCGCTTTTCTCACCCCATCTCTGCTACGGCACTCCAGAGAGCCAAAGTTTTTACATGTCTATGAAGCAGAGAGCCTGGCATTCTGCACACTCTGCCCCAGGAAGTTAGAGGGCTTGTTTATAAAGGTAGTTTGGAGTTAAATATGCATTGTTATGGCCAGGAAAGCAGGATTCATCTTTTCTGGAAGTCTTATTTTTTTTAAGTGACATTAGTAAAAGACTGCATTGCTGTTTGTCATAGCTTTGCTTTGCCCCTGACTGGGCCAGGAAATAGTGTGCACAGAGTGTAATTTCCCACATGTCTGCAGCATTCCTGCAGCCTTGCTCATCCTCCACCAGTGACACACAAATAGGACTAACAACACTTGAACCTGACATTTTTCAAACCTATCAAGGAGCGGCTGCTTTCAGGTACCTCTTACCATCTATTAGCTCTGCCAGCTAGTCTCTGACAGACACTCACAGCCTGATCCTGATGGGTGGGATCATGCAATTGCTGTCCCAGCAAGAAGGCAGGACTCATTCAAGCAGCCTGAAGAGACCATGAAATGTCCCACAATTCAGCTGTCAGCATCCAGTGTGTACAGAGCTAAAGGAGCTGTACAACTCACACTCCAGAGAGCAGGAGAAGATAAACTTCAGAGCCCATTCTCTGTGGTCTTTCACCACTGACACCACGAGAGATTACCAACTGAAGAAAAGATGTTCAAAGGGTGTGGGATGAAAATGTGTTCATCCAAATCCAGGCATCCCTGAGTGGAAACAGAGCAAGAACTTCTCCATGATAGAGCAAAAATTTTACTTGCCATCTAAACATAAAAGAATGAAAAAGGCATAATGCCTTCGTACCCCAAACTATTTGCATCCACTGGTCATAGTTCAAAGAAGAACCACAAGCTATGTCAATACAAATACACAAATCTCCCCTCATTTGCTGCCCAAGATGGATGAACACTCATGAATCACAGACTCATCGAATGGTTTGGGTTGGAAGAGACCTTAAAGACCATCTAATTCCAACCCCCTGCCATGGGCAGGGACACCTTCCATTAGACCAGGTTGCTCTGTTGCCCTGTTCAGCCTGGCCTTGAACACTGCCAGGGATGGGGTAGCCACAAGTTCCCTGGGAAACCTGCTCCAGTGTCTCACATTCTGACTAATCTTCATGGTTTCTAATCAGAAATCAATTAATAACTTGAAGGTGTAATTTCATCTTTGTTTTTGGCTAAAATCCTTTCTGAATCTCATTACATTACTGGTTGAAACATGTTTGAGCAGTAGCTCCATATTGTTTCGGGTGAAGACCTAGGCCTAGAACAAGTGATTGGCAGCCAGACTGCTGTACTTGAATGTAATTTTAAGATTGAGCCCATACGTTAGAACCTGTACATAAGAATTTAGCAGTAACTGTGTGCCCTGTGTTCTTAGTATTCTCAAACCTTCATGCTTAGCTAATCACTCATCTCAAACAGGCAGGTAATCTACCTGACCCTCTAGTAAGAGATTTTTTGCAATTCTTGTATTTGAGAGTTTCATCTCCTTTCATATAATGGTGTGTGTTTTCCTAGTAGTTGTTTCATTGAAAATTCTGAGATCTCCTTTTTTAAGGTAACATAAAGTGATAATGTTTTAAAATTTAAAAATCTGAACACCTGCATAAATTGATGTCTCAGCTGGTAGTTATTATGCCTTTGCATTCCTCAAGTCCAAATAAAACAGTAGAGCATATTTTATCTTACTTCATATTGAACAAATCTATTCTAAGAGGCGCAGAAGAGCCATTTCTCCTGCTCTTCTATGCTCTGCAGTTTTATAGAAATGAATCTAAATTATTATTAGCTTTGTAACAGGGGTAAAAAATCATAAAGCTGACTGCTTTAGTAGTGTCAGCCTAAGGTCTTTCTCCCCTTCCCCACACCGCCTCAGTCCACTTCTTTTTAAATAGTTTCTTTCTTCACTTGCAAGAATTTTCCCTCAGCAATTCTGGGAGACACTTATCTTCTGGAGTGCTGCACTTTCTTACATGTCTAGTGAACACAAAGGGCACTGCTCACAGCAATCTGAAATGCAACCGTGTCATGCTGTCACATAAAATATCACCTTGCACAGCTTGTCATGTAAATGCACCACGTTTTGGACAGATATCATCTTGTGGCTCCAGCTGAAGCATTGCATGAGGATGCCTTCTATCTCCATCCCCTCTGGCCCACTCCTGTGCTAGCATGGCTATGTGGGTGAACCCTTCCTCACCCACTCCAGGCAAGAGCAATGAGGTTATTGTCAACAATCTACACACGAATTCTTTGCTAACCTGTTCCATTATAATAAGTCTGTGGAGAGCTCTTCATGACGAGCTCAGCCAAGAGAGCTGATGGAGAAGGAACAGCGAGATAAGTGAAAGCAGCCTGTCTGCAGCATACACATCTGTTTGTGCCCTCATAGTTGCCCAGTGTGCCTCCACTGCTCTGCAGCAAGACTCCATGGGTTTGCTGCAAAATATTCTTTAAATTTCCCCAGGACCTTTTGCCATGTGCAAAATGGAAAGGAATACAGCTGATAATGAGAGTCATCACCACATACAGAAGTTGTTCTTTCTTGGTCAAAGGAATAAGCGTGCACAAATTTTCCATCAACTTTTCTTTCAAAGCTATTGTGACCTGGGGAGCTGAAGTGATTCTGCCTTACGTTATGCTTACAGCACATTCTGGTTAACTGACACTATTCCCACCACTATCGTTAAGATTATGTCAGTGTTTCCACTAAGCACTGTGTCTCTGAGGAGCTTATGGTAACCAAGCTGTCAGAATTAATTCTGGACTCAAACATCACATATTGTAAATTCCCAATGATGTACACTTAATTTCTTTAAAAAACATGGAGTTAATTGATATTGCAATACATACACATCAGGATTCAGAAAAGAATTTGGGCTTATACTGCACTATTCAAAATGTTGCAGGTAATTACTAGCAGCCAGAATAGTTGGTCATAAGTTGCCACTCAGAAAACAAACAAACCAACCAACCGAAGAACAAAAAAGAAAAAGTTATGGAATTGTGTTTTCTGACCTGCATGTTAAGCCATGAAAGATATTTCAGTGACGTAGCTGAGCTGCCTCGGAGTGCTGAAGCTTGGCTTTGTGCTTGACAAGGCTCTCCACCTGGAACTACTTATTTTAGAGAGAAGTTTCACTCAGTTCTTTATAATGATGCTTCTGGAGGCAGGACATGTGGCTTTCACAACATCAACCTTTGTTATGAAGGATATGCCTGCTCTCCTAAACCTTCTTTGGGGCTTTATGATCCCCAGAACAATGCCAAACAAAATACGCCTCTTACTGTGGCTAACCAGAGAGGATTTATTTATCAACAGTTCTGTTATCATTAAGAAATCAGTATGAAATGCCACAGACATTAGGAGATTCTTTGTGTTAAGATCCATCACTCTGGGGCAGAAAACAGAGAAGGAAATATCTGTTCTGGGTGTGCGGACTGCATCTTTATCCATCCATTGTTTTCAATAGGAACTGTGTATGCCACAGACTAGAAACTTTTAGAGGTGTATGGTAAGCTGAAGGGAAGCATAACCAGGGAGCTGCGTATAAAGTATATGTAGTTTGGTATACTCAGTCAGGTCTCTTGGAATTTTCTGCTTTAGGAGAAAGACCTTGAGTCTTATAGTATCATTCTTCTATGGGAAGAGAAAAGAACAGATATTTGAGGGAAGATACTGGAATAACCATCAACCTAGTCTGTTACCACTTATGCATGGAAATGTTCCCACTGAAGCATGAGCAGGAATGTGTCTTTACAACAGAGACACTCACTCCTTTCACAGAGTTTTGTGTTGTGTTCAAGAATGGGATCACATTAATCCAGGAAGCAGCCTGGGAAGGGATTTGTCTGCACAGGAAACATGGAAGACAATACTAAGGACATCTCTTCCAGACAATGATATTGCAAGAGGACATGCTGGCTTTGCCACGCAGGGTGTTTGGAGGACACTGCTGTTGCCCTCAGGGGCTGGAGGTCAGGCAACCTCCCTGTTCCCAGGGCACACTACTTACCTTAATGGTTGCCAGCAACACCTGCAACTGGGAAAAGCACCAGTGACAAAAGTAACCTTCATACTGGGTTTCCCACTGCTGCTTCCAATAGTGAGCTGCCCCAGTGAAGGAAAACCAGGAACATAGATACAAGGACACAAAGGCAGGGGCCCATGCTGCAGACATGACTGCAGTGAATCACAGGCTGACCAACTTCTCATGTTGGTTGTCCTCTCTATAAAACACATCTCATACACAATTTTTAAGATTTCCACTTATTGCAATGATAACCCATTTATTCCTCCCTTACAGCACACAAACATTTCTGTACTGAGGTAATTTCATACAAACAGTAGGGGGGAAATCAAGAATCTATGGCAGAGTATTACCCAAGTTATAAAAGCAGTTTATTACTCTATTGTGTGTCTAAAATTTCTGGAACATTGTAGTAGATGTATTTTACAGAGAAATGACCACACGTTTTAATGAAATCCAGGTTCAGATTCTGGAAACATTTCTTCCTTAATTTTATCTTTTGAACTGAGTCTAATACCCCACCAGGAGAAATCAATAGAATATTTAATACATCTCACCATCACACCTTCATGTGTATTTGCATAGAGAAGAAAATAACTCCACATGACAGACCAGGACTTACTTTTCCTTTACTTGAAACCAAATTCTGTTGCCTGCTGATGATTACATGTTCCAGTTTGTTCTTGACTCTTCTAGGTGAAATTCAAGCAGTCATTACAATTTCTGCTGGACCTCTCTTATGTAATGCATACTCCCTTGTTGATTTAGATTGAGAGCAGTGCTGCACTGGGTTCCTGCTCTCCAGCTGCCTCCTTACAGTGCTTGGAGTCACATCCTGCATCCCTCACTGGTGTACACCATAAGGAACAGCACCCTAAGGAAAAAAAAAAAGAGTCCCAGTTCCTGTGTTGAGGCCTGTTGCAGAGTACAGGAGCACTGCAGACATCTTTCTGAATCCCTTACACACCCAGCTGCATCAGGTACAATTCAGCTGACCAGTATTAGTTTGCCTGTGCCAGCTATGGATAAATCATGGGTCTTTAAAAAGATTTTAGTTCAGTCAAATCTGTTTGCTTTATGAGACCATTCTGACACAAAAGTAAGCATGTGGATGTTGCTGGTTTTCATACAAACCACTGTAGGTATTCAAAAGAAACAAAAAATAACAGACATCTGAGTGATTACGATCATCTGCCTAATATATTACTCCTGGAAACATTTTTTTCTGAAACTGAAAAAAAAAGCATCCTGAGGATGCTCTTTCAGGAAACACCTGATGTGGAATAGTTCCATCTGAATGGCACAATTATAACACTTGGCAACATCACAGACGTCTTTAAACAAGGTCATACACTGGCAAGTATGAGGCAGCCTGTTTACAAGGCGCACCAGTGGCTCTGCCTTGCACATGCTGCCTGTGTCCCTGAAGCATGCCCAATGCTTCACAGATTGACCGGTGCTCCTGTCACATTAGCAGTTAAATAACTTCGAAGTACAGTATAACACTAAATCACCTTCAACGTGTTTTTATTAACTTGTGGTCCTTATGGTGACTTTAAGAGAAGAAAGAATAAAACATAGACGCAACCTACACACAAGTGTACATTACTGCCAGGAATCTAAATCTTGGTGCTCCTGAATTAGGGTGCTGCTGTGGGGTCCCCACATGGTCTACACATACAGCAACAGAGTCCTTCTGTACATTATAGATGAAGAGCCCTGCTAGTCTTTACCACACTGACTCATTTGCCTGCTGGTTCATGCAAGTTGAATAGGACCGCAGACGGCCAACAGTTACAACGCATTTTGTAAGCCCATATCATCTCAGTTCAAAACAGGACAGTGAACAAGAACTGCAGCTTCAATGAAAACAGTGTAAGTTTCTGGCAGCACTAAAGGCTCCTTGAAATCCACAGTAACATTGGTATGAAACACAGGAAATTAAAACACTGTCATGAAATCTACTGCACAGAGCAACCAGAACATGAAATATATCTGTGATGTGAGCATGACACAAAGTGTAGAAAATACAAGCAATTTTATTTGCAAAGAAAACATGACAGTGCTCTCCCACCACCAATTAAAGCCAGTTTGCAGTAGAAGCTCCATCGAATTTGAGACTTTGCTTACTCAGCTGATTGTAAAGATGTGTGAAAGATGATTGTGCTTTTGCCAACACTGGGTAGTTTAATCTTCCACAATCAAGATAAAGCCCAAGTCCTCTCCAACAACCTTTAGGGGATACACACACAAGCATTAAGAATTAAAGAGCAATATATAGCCCTGGTTAGGAAGAAATCACAAATGCACCTGGTAAGCCAGAAGCTTTCTGGGCTGCAAGCGCACACTGAAGCTAGCTCATGTTAAGTTTCTCATTGACCAACACCCCCAAGTCCTTCTCCACAGGGCTGTTCTGAATCTCTTCTCTGCCCAACCTGTAGCTGTGCCTGGAATTGCTCCAACCCAGGTGTAGGACCTTGTACTTGTCAAGGTTAAACTTCATGAGCTTGACATCTGCCCACCTCACAAGTGTGCCCAGGTCCAGGCAGATGACATCGACCTGGAGAACAAGGTGGTTGGTGACAGCCAGCATGACTTCATTAAGGAGAAATCCTGCCTGACCAGTTTGGTGGCCTTCTATGATGGGGCTACAGAACTGATGGACAGGGGTAGAGCAGCTGATGTCATCTACCTGGACTTCTGCAAAGAGTTTGACACTGTCCCACATGACATCCTTGTCTGTAAATTGGAGAGACATCAATTTGATGGAGGACCACTCGGTGGATAAAGAACTGGCTGGATGGCCACACGCAAAGAGTTGGGGTCAATAGCTCAGTGTCCACCTGGAGACCAGTAACGAGTGGTGTCCCTCAGGGATTGGTGTTGGGACCGGTCTTGTTCCACATCTTTGTTGGTGACATGGACAGTGGGATTGGGTGTGCTCTCAGCAAGTTTGCTGTGTGGTTCGGTTGATACGCTGGAGGGAAGGAATGCCATCCAGAGGGACCTTGACACGCTTGTGAGGTGGGCTGATGCCAACCTCATGAAGTTTAACCATGACAAGTGCAAGGCCCTACACTTGGGTCAGATCAACCCCAGGCACAGCTACAGGTTGGGCAGAGAAGAGATTCAAAGCAGCCCTGCAGAGAAGGACTTGGGGATGCTGGTCAATGAGAAACTGAACATGAGCCAGCTGCAGTGTGTGCTCGCAGCCCAGAAAGCCAACCATATCCTGGGCTGCATCAAAAGGAACGTGACCAGCAGGTCGAAGGAGGTGATCCTGCCCCTTTACTCTGCTCTCGTGAGACCTCACTTGGAGTATTGTGTACAGTTCTGGTGTCCTCAAAATAAAAAGGACATGGAACTGTTGGAACAAGTCCAGAGTAGGGCCACGAGGATGATCAAGGGACTGGAGCACCTCTCGTATGAAAACAGGCTGAGAAAGTTGGGGCTGTTCAGCCTGGAGAAGAGAAGGCTGCGTGGAAACCTTCCAGTATCTGAAGGGGGGGCCTATAGGGATGCTGGGGAGGGACTCTTCATTAGGAACTGTAGCGATAGGACAAGGGATAACAGGTTAAAACAAACAGGGGAAGTTTAGACTGGATATAAGGAAGAAGTTATTGACTTTAAGGGTGGTGAGGCACTGGAATGGGTTGTTCAGGGAAGTTGTGAATGTTCCATTCCTGGTGGTGTTCAAGGCCAGGTTGGACAGAGCCTTGGGCAACATGGTTTAGTGTGGGTGTCCCTGCCCATAGCAGGGGGGTTTGAACAAGATGATCTTAATGTCTTTTCCAACCCTAACAATTATATGGTTCTATTACTTGGGCAGCATGGGCAGAGCACTTGCCAGTGAAGACTGAGTCAAAGAAGTCATTGATAATCTCAGCCTTATCCAAATCCATGGTAGCCAGTTCTCTTGATAGCTTCCAGAGAGGGCCCACATTATCCCTAGCCTATCTTTTGCTAGTAACATATCTACAGAAGCCCTCCTGTTATCTTTCACATCCCTTGCCAGATTTAATTCTAACTGGGCCTTATCTTTCCTGACCTGGTCCCTAGCTTCCCGGATAATATCCCTGTATTCTTCCCAGGCCCCCTGTCCACTTTTTATAAGCTTCTTTGTTCCCTCTGTGTTTTCTCAGCAGCTCTTTATCCAGCCATCAAGGCTTCCAGGCTCTCCTGCTGCATTTCCTTCTAGTCGGGATGCAACACTTCTGAGCCTGGAGCAGGTGATCCCTGAATATCAATCAGCAGTGTTGGGCCCCCCTTCCCTCCAGGGCTTTATCCCCTGGAACCTTACTAAGCAGGTTCCTGAAGAGGCCAAAATCTGCTCTCATGAAGTCCAGAGCAGTGAGCTTGCAGTGTGCCCTTCTCACCGTCCTAAGGATCTCAAACATCTCATGATTGCTACAGCCAAAGCTGTCCTGGAGCATTACATTTCCAACAAACCCTTCCCTGTCAGTGAACACGAGGTCAAGCATGGCACCTCTCCTTGTTGGCTCCCCTATTACTCGCAAGAGGAAGTTGTCTTCCACACAATTGAGGAATCTCCTGGATTGCTTGTGCCGGGCTGTACCGTCCCTCCAACAAATATCAGGATGGTTGATGTACCCCATGAGGGCAAGCACCTGCGAGCATAAGGCTGCTCCTGTCCATAGAGCACTTCTTCCACAGAGTCCTTCTGATCGGGTGGCTTGTAACAGATTCCCACAGTAATGTCCTCCCTCACTCTTCTCCCTTTGACCCTGACCCACAAATTCTGTTGACTCATCACCTGTCCCCAGACAGAGTTCCATACTCTCCAGCCTATCACTGACACAAATAGCTACTCTCCCTCCCTAGCCTGTCTTTTCTAAAGAGCCTGTAACCTTCTCCAGTCATAGGAGCCATCCCACCATGTTTCTGTGATGCCTATTATATCATACCCCCATAGATGTGCACACATCTCTAATTTCTCTTGTTTATTCCCCATACTATGGGCATTTGTATAGAGGCATCTAAGCTCCAAATGAAGCTGACTCTGGCTGGAGCAGCTGAAATAGCTCTGCATCACTCCAAGCATTTATTACAGGTGCTGGCAACTGACTGGGAGTGTTGGGATGAATCAATGCCCCTTCCCCCCAACGCATCTATTTTAAAGCTGCCTTGACCAGCCTAGAAAGCCTCCTACCAAAACAGCTCAGACCAGCTTCACCAGCCTCCAGGAGACCTGGCCTCTCAAATTCAGTCCCATGTTGTAAATAACCAAACCCGTCATTACAGCACCACTGTTCTAACCATTTATTAACCTGGCCTTTTTAAAGTCTTCCCCTTTGCCCTGGAGGATCAATTAAAAAACTATATGAGCCCCAGAGCCCTTAATCACCTTTCCCAGGTCTCTGTAGTTCTCCTTAACAATTCCCAAGCTACTGGTATCTGTATAACTAGCACCCACATAGACCACAAAAAGCAGGTAATAGCGGGACTTACTAGGCCAGGCAGCCTCTCAGCAACATCCCTGATCCGAGCCCCTGAGAGGCAACACACCTCCCTCAAGACTGGGTCAGGCCAACAGATGGGTGCCTCTGTGCCTTTCCAAGTAGAGTCCCCTACTACTATGACCAGCTGCTTTTTCCTGGAAGTACCAGTAGTGATCCTCTTTACAGGTGCATCAGCAGGATGTTCATTTGGTGCAGCGTGCATCCTCATTAGCCCCCTGCAGGACTCCGAAGAGGTTCTGAGTGGGGATGCCAGATTTTGGAGGAAACACCTTGCTTATAACTGTCCTCTTCCTCCCTTTTTTTTTTTTGGTTTTGTTGTTGTTGTTGTTGTTGTTGTTGTTGTTGTTGTTACTGGCTCCCAGCTTCTTGGGTTAATGCCCTCCTTTTCTGTACATGCTATGGTGGACGCTTATGGCCCCTGCACAGTTTGGGCCCGGGGCAAGCAGTCCTGCTTTCTCTCAGCTTCCCTGACATCTTTCAGCCTATTGACAGCGTCCCGCAGCTCAGCCCCTGCTGCAGGAGGACCTCCACCAGGGAGCACCGGGTGCAGCCCTGCCCATTGTGCACCCTCCCCTCACGAGCCCAGTGCAGGCACTCTCTACACTCCGAGCTCTGCGCCGCAGCCTCCCCTCTCACCGGCTCTGTCTGGTGCCGACGCTGCCACCGCCGGGGCAGCCAGAGCAGAGCTCCCAGACCGGGCCCTGGTCATGAGGCGAGCGCTCACCACCCCGCTGGCGCTGCCGGCGCCAGCTGCCCCCCCACGCCCTGACTGCCATGACACGCCCTGTTTGCCCGCCCTGTTCGCTGCGATCCCGGTTCCTCGCGCTCCCTGGGGCGGGTTTTTACTCCTGCTGGCACCGCCCCCTGCGAGGCCCCGCTCGCCTCAGCGGAGCTGCCGGCTCCTGGGCAAGGCCCAGTGAGGGCTTGAGGCTCCCTCGCTGGCTCTCGGCGCTCTGAATTGAAGCTCTTGGACGCTGAGCTTCCCACCGCCCCGGTCCGGCGTTAAAGGCGTCTTGAGCTAGAAGGTGGGAGAGCTGAAACCGTTCAGCTGTGAGAGACAGCTCAGGGGATCCTGTCACAGTGTATCAACACCTGATGGGGGGGTGTGGGGAGGGTGTGTGTGTGATCCAAAAGGAAGATTCTAACCACAGTGGTGCCCAGCGACGGAACCAGAGGCAATGTCAGTGCGAGACTGAAGGGGGCTTGGAGCAACCCGGTGTAGTGGAAGGTGTCCCTGCTTGTCGCAGGAGGTTGGAACTAGTTGAGCATTAAGGTTCCTTCCAACCCAAACCATTCAAAGTCTGTGATCCTGTGAATGGGCACATACTGAGGTATGAGAAACTTAAAATATAATAAAAATAAACCATTTTTAATTTTTTTTTTTTTTTTCTGTGATGGTGCCTGAACACTAGAGCAGGTGCAGCCTGGAGGTCTCAATCTTTGCACATACTCACAACCCACCCAGACCTGGCCCTGAGCAACCAGCCCTTGCTAATCCTGCCATTAACAGGGGTTTGGGCTGGGCAGATGTCTCCAGAGCTCCCTTTGCGATTCTATGAGTGTCTGATATTTGGCTATTTTGCACCTGCAAACACATACATTTGTCTATTGTTTTACAGAAAAAAAATATTCTTCAGAAATAAATTTACAGCATTTGAGGAAATAATGCAAGTGTAAATTCTATGAAAAAAAAAATTAACAACTCTCCTCCTGAGTAACAGACAACTCTCAAAATTTAAAACAAGTTGAAATACACATTCCCTTCCTATTTATTTTATAAGACACAACTACAGGCTTGGATTTAACCTAATACAAAATTCTATTTTTGGAAAAAAAAAGACCGTAAGTGGAAAGTATATACATTTGAACTTTCCTCAATGTGATATTAAAGGAAGCTAAATTCTAAATATGATTTACCCCTTTCTAATTTAATCTACTGCTAGTTACAGTGGTTGATTGCATTTACCTACATTAGACATTGTTTAATTTGCCTCTATACAGAAAGTGTTTT